TTGTGGTTACCAAATTTTACAAAACGAGAAGGGTTTGTTTTTTTTTTTTTTTTGTTCGTTTATTTTTTATTTGTTTTTTTTGTGTCTTTTTTGTTGTTTTTTTTACATTTAAAAAAAATATTTTATTAAAAAAGAAAAAAAAAATGATTATGCGTTCTCCGAGACAACGGCGTGTTTTCCGTGCATAGAATTTTTACAAAGGAAATAAATCCACGTCGTGACTTATGAAAGTAAAACCTTCCTTGAACGCACTCGGGTGATCTGATTGACTTCGCTTTTCTTGTTTCTTTCTTTCTGACATTGAAAAATTATGTCTTTTTAATTTACTTCAGCCTTGGCATCCAGTGGCATGCGGTCCATATGTGGGATCCAGTCAATAATTGACCTTCAGTGACATGCAGCCAATACTTGGCATCAAGTGAAATGCAATCAATATTTGGCGTTCAGTGACATGCAGTCAATGTTGGGCATTCAGTGACATGCAGTCAATATTTGGCATTCAGTGACATGCAGTCAATATGTAGCATAAAGTGACATGCAGTCAATATTTGGCATTCAGTGGCATGCAGTCAAATATTTGGCCTCCAGTGGCATGCAGTCAAATATTTGGCCTCCAGTGGCATGCAGTCAAATATTTGGCCTCCAGTGGCATGCAGTCAAATATTTGGCCTCCAGTGGCATGCAGTCAAATATTTGGCCTCCAGTGGCATACAGTCAAATATTTGGCCTCCAGTGGCATGCAGTCAAATATTTGGCCTCCATTGGCATGCAGTCAAATATTTGGCCTCCAGTGGCATGCAGTCAAATATTTGGCCTCCAGTGGCATGCAGTCAAATATTTGGCCTCCAGTGGCATGCAGTCAAATATTTGGCCTCCAGTGGCATGCAGTCAAATATTTGGCCTCCAGTGTCAGGAACCGTTAGCTGCGAGCTTTGGGGGAAAAAAAAAAAGAAAAACAGACATAGCTGGAGTAAGGCAATAGGGGTGTGGTGGGGGGGGGAGGGCAAGAGAGAGTATTCAGTAAATGAATAATAATGTAATATTCCGCCATGCAGTATGAGCAATCAGGTCAAGGGGGTGTGAGAAGGTTAACATAGGTTAACATAGTGCAACAGTCACACCTGAGTTAAAGTACACAGCGGTCTCGTTTTAAATATATTGGAGGTATGAGTCATTGACGTCATCTGGAAACACCAGGTGTGGAGTCGGAAAGTGGGGTGTGGGGGGGGGGGGAAGGTGTGGTAGAAATATTCTAAGTATTTTTTTTTTTAAATATCAGGCACACATTTTTTTTTAAATTCACGAATAACTACATACTGGACAAAATGTTTGATATCTTAAGGACTCAACTGTCAAATGATTTAATTATTTTCCCTATAAATCTTTTCCGCTGTACTCTTGGCACACAGTAGACCAGGCACGGATATCACAGATCTCCCATTGTGGTTACCAAATGTTACAAAACGAGAAGAGGTTGTTTTTTTTTTTTTTTGTGCGTTTATTTTTTATTTGTTTTTTTTGTGTTTTTTTTGTTGTTTTTTTTTCATTTTAAAAAAATATTTTATTAAAAAAGAAAAAAAAAATGATTATGCGTTCTCCGAGACAACGGCGTGTTTTCCGTGCATAGAATTTTTACAAAGGAAATAAATCCACGTCGTGACTTATGAAAGTAAAACCTTCCTTGAACGCACTCGGGTGATCTGATTGACTTCGCTTTTCTTGTTTCTTTCTTTCTGACATTGAAAAATTATGTCTTTTTAATTTACTTCAGCCTTGGCATCCAGTGGCATGCGGTCCATATGTGGGATCCAGTCAATAATTGACCTTCAGTGACATGCAGCCAATACTTGGCATCAAGTGAAATGCAATCAATATTTGGCGTTCAGTGACATGCAGTCAATGTTGGGCATTCAGTGACATGCAGTCAATATTTGGCATTCAGTGACATGCAGTCAATATGTAGCATAAAGTGACATGCAGTCAATATTTGGCATTCAGTGGCATGCAGTCAAATATTTGGCCTCCAGTGACATGCAGTCAAATATTTGGCCTCCAGTGGCATGCAGTCAAATATTTGGCCTCCAGTGACATGCAGTCAAATGTTTAGCCTCCAGTGGCATGCAGTCAAATATTTGGCCTCCAGTGGCATGCAGTCAAATATTTGGCCTCCAGTGGCATGCAGTCAAATATTTGGCCTCCAGTGGCATGCAGTCAAATATTTGGCATCCAGTGGCATGCAGTCAAATATTTGGCCTCCAGTGGCATGCAGTCAAATATTTGGCCTCCAGTGGCATGCAGTCAAATTTTAGCCTCCAGTGGCATGCAGTCAAATGTTTAGCCTCCAGTGACATGCAGTCAAATGTTTAGCCTCCAGTGGCATGCAGTCAAATGTTTAGCCTCCAGTGACATGCAGTCAAATGTTTAGCCTCCAGTGGCATGCAGTCAAATGTTTAGCCTCCAGTGGCATGCAGTCAAATGTTTAGCCTCCAGTGGCATGCAGTCAAATGTTTCGCGTTAATAGCGGGGTAGCGTTAACTTTGGTTGTACAATTATTTTATGCGACCTACACCCGTCGCTAGCAATGCGTCCTAATGTGACTACTAGCGAGGTATACATGCCGAACGGTCTCACCGAAGTCTTCATTCGGACATTATGAGGTTGAATATATTATTTTAAACTTTTTTTTCTTTCAGTTCAAAATAATAATAATAATAATGATAATTTTCAAATGAATTTTCGCCACTTCCTAAGCCATGCCACGACGATTTATTGCGGGTTAACACTGTATCCGTAAAAGTATTTTTTTCCTTTTAAAAATATGTTACAGTTCTGAAATTTAACATGAGTGTTTCCCCTTGCAGTTTGAGTTGTGTCCCTGTTACTTTTAAAATATCGGTACTTACTCTCTTGTAATAATGTTAGTCAATCTACTCCAGTTGTTTTAAAAAGGTGATTGTCAAAATTCAGTTAATACTTTTTTTTATGAATGCATCCAAATACTTCTATATATTGATGCAGTTAATTCAGTTACCAAAACGATTAATTTAATTAAATTAACTATTATTTTCAAACATTTTTTTTTCTTCAAGAAGTGTGTCAAACTTATTCTTATAAAGTGACACAGTTAATCTTATTCTTATAAAGTGACGCAGTTAATCTTATTCTTATAAAGTGACGCAGTTAATCTTATTCTTATAAAGTGACGCAGTTAGTCTTATTCTTATAAAGTGACGCAGTTAATCTTATTCTTATAAAGTGACGCAGTTAATCTTATTCTTATAAAGTGACGCAGTTAATCTTATTCTTATAAAGTGACGCAGTTAATCTTATTCTTATAAAGTGACGCAGTTAATCTTATTCGTATAAAGTGACGCAGTTAATCGTATTCTTATAAAGGGATGCAGTTAATCTTATTCTTATAAAGTGACGCAGTTAATCTTATTCTTATAAAGTGACGCAGTTAATCTTATTCTTATAAAGTGACGCAGTTAATCTTATTCTTATAAAGTGATGCAGTTAATCGTATTCTTAGAAAGTGACGCAGTTAATCTTATTCTTATAAAGCGACTCATTTAATCACGTTCTCATTTAATTATTGACATAGTTAGACCTGAAACAAAAGTTTCCATTGAGACAGACTTTTTGTTTTGTTTAAAGTACGAGAACCTCTGCCTCAGTTTAAACATTTGGAACGTTCCTCCAGAGCACCAGCAAGAGCTTTCTTGATTGGGAAGACCTTCGACTTAAGCTGTTCAGACTTTGAGGCGAAAGAGTGGGTTGGGGGGGGGGGTGTCTTGACCCAACTGCGAGCACCATTTTATGTTGTTGATGTTGAGCTTATTATGAGTCTGTTCTACGAGTAGCATTTTTAAGGCAACGCCGGTGTTCGAAAGCCGGTGGCGGAAGAGTGGGTTGGGGGGGGGGGGTGTCTTGACCCAACTGCGAGCACCATTTTATGTTGTTGATGTTGAGCTTATTATGAGTCTGTTCTACGAGTAGCATTTTTAAGGCAACGCCGGTGTTCGAAAGCCGGTGTTCCAAAGCCGGTGTTCGAAAGCTGGTGTTCGAAAGCTGGTGTTCGAAAGCCGGTGTTCCAAAGCCGGTGTTCGAAAGCCGGTGTTCGAAAGCCGGTGTTCGAAAGCCGGTGTTCCAAAGCCGGACAAGCTCATCATAAATCGTGGTGACGTCAAAGTGAGAGAGCGCCGTGACCAGTTTGAAGACCAGGGTGTTTTTTCTGATCATAGACCAGTTGATGACATTTCAATGCGTTGAGGGTGTGTGTGTGGGTGTGTGTGGTGTGGGGGGAGTGGGGTTCCAAGACAAACGATTATGTGCGGGAGGGGGGGGGGAAGACTGTAAAAGTCGCGCAGCACAAGTCTGAAGCCATGTAGACCTTTGCTTAGCTCTGTAGCCTTTTCCTTTACAGCCACTACATACAATTATTTTAAAAACAACAACAAAAGACACGTTGCCATTTTTAAGGGAACACAAAAAATATTTTTGATTTTATTTATTGATGACTATTTTTTTAGTTTTCTTGTGCACAATATAATCATAACAGAGTTACAAACAAAATGATGGTGCGGAAATTGAACAAGAATTAAAGAGACCCCAGCAGCTAGCACTGTGTGTGCACTTGAAGATAACTTACCATTAAGCTGAGTGCTTCACGTCTGGTGCAAGAAGTATTTCTTTCTGATATGTTTAAGACGACATATTCTCTAATATCTGATCTTAAAAACACCCACCAAACCATTGGTACGGTGCTCCAGGGTTTACAGTAGTATACCTCCTTTAAATGTTTTACAGTGTTAGATAGAATTGGTTTATTAACATCAATACTGAACACAATATTTGACTATATAAAAAATATACACTAATTGAGGTTAATCGGTTTGACAGAAATTCAAAGCGATCAAAACATATTTCTCTCTCTCTCGCACGGTAAGACTAACATTTACAGCTGTATTATATATAAATATATAATTCCTACATTCAAAGTAAATTAAAAATATCAGGGACTGCCTCCATTTCCCGCTTCCCCAATGTGACCCTAATCTCAGAATTAAAAGCTGGGACCAAAATTGATTGGCTGCATTGCTGCCACCAGTCCAGGGACCACGCGTACCTTTTTTTTTTACCCATCGGTGGTTTTTATTTACCTGTGCAATGCAATTTAAAATACTTTCTTTAAATTTTTCACATCTTTCGGCCCCTTAAATATGTGAGCGCCCCCCCCCCCCACACTTTTTTTGCAACGATGGCTCTGCGTGATCAGGCCAGTGTGCCTGTTAAGATAATATTCTACTTTAATATTGCGAAATGTCAATAGTATTCATGTAGAATATTATTTAGGCATTTGTACATTTCATTTTGCTGGGACATCACTCGAACATTCATGAATAAACAGTAATTTAGATTCAATTTCAACAAGATTTATTATGAAACATTCGTAAGTTTATTCTTTTAAAAAAACATACAAAATCGTCGACAGTAACATTAAAAATGCATCACCTTAAAACTTCCAGAAACTACTACGATCTGCAGCAAAAAAGTCCCAAAAAAAAAGAGAGAGCTAATTAAACATGATGACACTCATACAAATAATTTATTTAGAGCCACGCTGATCTTGTTTGTGATGTTTCCGTTGGATTTTGCTTTGGAGGGATTTGGCGCGATGAAGTCTTTGGAACTTCGTCGTGTGTTGTCTTAAGATTTGATTTATAAATCAGAAAGACTGGCGAGATGCATCGGAACTTTAACTGTCTCGTCAGATTTTGATGATGCTGTTAAGTGGTGGGCCCTCCGTCCAACAACGTGAGGATCTGTTTGATGATTCGACACGGCGTTGTGATCAGTCAGCGACTGGCTGTTGAAAGGACTAGCATTAATTAATGGTTGAAAATTACTCGCAAGATTGTCATTGGCTGAGAACTGAAGAGGTGCTCCGTTGTGATAAGCTGAAGACGAGGGCGTTGTTGGCCTGTGATTGGCTGATGATTCGTTCATCATATGATGTGATGGGCTGGGTGACGTAGACAACGGTATATAAATAGGTTTCTGCGTCCGGTTCGATGCCTCTTTGGACAGCATGGTAAGCTCTAGACTTTGTTGATGGTTGAGTCGCCGTTCTGCTCTGCTTCTCTGAAAAGACATCAATCGAACCCGCAATTAAAATCTTTGCAATCTCTCAGATTCCCCATTTTACATAGCCGTCTTTAAGCCAGCTAGAAAATATTGTGCAAATTGGTCTTTTCTTTCGAGCCAGTTTTAATGTCCACATAGAAGAAATCCGTTGGCGCATCTTGATGTAGACCATCTTCGCCATGGAACCATCAAAACATCACATAGAAAGCAAACATAATTTAATTTTTTTTAAAGATATGTGATTGGTCACGGGAAATGTAAAAAAAAAAAGTTACCATTGAACTGTAGGTGGCCAATGCAGATATTCCCAAGCTGATCACGCTGAGGCCGATGGCCACGCCCCCGGATATGACGTAAATATACACCAAGGAGTCCTTGTCGCAGTCTCCGATGCTTTCACTCACCATTCTGTTGGAAATTTTTTTTTTATGTAAATCAGTGTATTGAAAATTGTTATGCCGTCATTTCACAGTATTGTAAACTCATAATAAAAGGAAAAAAATAGTGTTTTTTAAATTTAAACCTGTATCAAACTCATTTACTTTTAGATCTTTTCATATTTCAAATGTCCACTTGGAGCGATCTCAAATTTCCTAGAAACAGTTTGAAAGTACTCACGTGCAGTTGTCTCTCTTGATGTAGACCGTGTCTATTGTGTATCCATAGCCAGCGGCACCTGTCAGTAGGGTGGCCAGAACGAGGCAGATGTGCATCCCCACCTGGAGGGAAATTTGACCGAGACGTCGTGGGTTAGTTTACAAACCAAGCAGATCCAATTTTTTTTTATTTAAAAAGAAAAACAAACATATTTCGAATTGACATATATCTCTAAATGATATTCGTACAGGATCGCTTATACGTTACAATGAAATGCAGGAGGCAACCCTGAGACATCCTATCAAGGTCTGGTGGATTACTGCCCCTGGTCCTGTTACAGCCCTTCGAAATTTAAAAATGCCACGCAAAGAACCATTTTGAGTTAAACACCTCCACCACGTTGAGGGACAAGCTGTGATAAGTGCCACGTATACGGTAACTAACTTCGGTAAGAGAAGCTGAACAGAATTTCACCAACAGCACCTTGAATTGCTGAATAAGTAAGAGACTTGAATTTAATATCGTGATTGCATTGTGTGTGACTATGGAGTCGTTAAAGATGTGAGAGAGACAACTCACTTTGCGATTTTTATCAGCGTCTAAATGTTATGACCGTGGTGAGTGGTGAAGAAACTCATCGGCTACATTGAAATAACATGGTTGAAATTCTCAGGAGAAATAATGTACCGTTAAGGTGTATAACGTGATTAAATGAAGAATGTTGTCTTGGGCAAATGAAACATTCATCTCTGTAACAATTAGACTTACGGTCGACATCTGTCGTCTGTACGTGGTGGCGATGCCAGTGATGACCGGGAATACGAACTGAAAGAAAACATTTAAATTGTTTTTTTTTAAAAAAAAAAAGATATATATCATATTAAAATTTGTATGAACAAATAATAAATTGTTGTTAAAGCGCATTTGGCCAATGTACAAATAGAAAAAAAAAGAGGCAGTTGATGTGGTCAAATTTCAAAATGTCATTTAAACTTCTCTAAGCGTCTGTGATAAGGTACAGCCGAATGGGTAGTGATATCATATAGGGGTAGAAGGGGGTCAGAAGAATCAAGTATATCAGCCAATGTATGGGGTGAGTGGGGACAATGGGACAGAGGTGTAAAGGATAATAGCCAAAAATATTTATGGTGATCATTAATTAGCTTTCTTTTTATGAATTATCGTTACTTTATTTTTATTTTGAAAAGGGCTGAAATCATGTGACCAATGAGAGATTAGATTTGGCGTTGAAGTTTCTTTTTTGTTTTTTAACCAACTATTTTGTTTTACAGTGTTGTCTTTCAAACACCAGTCACCGGTCTAGACAGTAACTGGCTAACTTATTTTGAATGCATAATATGATACTTCAAAAAAAACGAACATAAATGAATCAAATTCGTTATACATTGAGCCAATTCAGCACATCATGTGTGCCAACCGAGGCCAAGTCATATCACATATCTCTTAAACCTACCGGTACACAAGCCATCCAAAAAGCTGACACATCTTTCCTGTAGGTCTCCAAGGCATACACAGCATAACAAGCCAGGACACCTGTAACAAACACACGCCAATGGTTAGTGTGAAATTAGTATAACAAGAAAGTAAACGACACATAGCAACGATATAACAGTTACACAGATCCGTTCTTAGGATATTGAGGGGCCATGGAGCATAGGTGGGGGCCCTGGTAGAGGGGTCTGGGGGCGGAGCTCCCCCGGGGCTGAGGAGAAAACACCACCCCCTCGACTGCGGCACCTCCGTTCTGCCTTCGTCACTGTTTCCTCTTTGCTCGCATGTAACCACTAACCATAGTGATAATTCCGCCACTAGAGAAAATGTGTACTTCTGAAATATATGGATTGCAAGGTGTTGGCTAAAAAAAAGAGCGACCGGCGGGGCCCCCTTTACAGTGGGGCCCTAAACGGTCGCAAAGTTTGCCTCTGCCTAAGAAAAGCTCTGATAATATTACCTCCAACATCAAGTAAATTATATTACCCCTGACATCAAGTAAATTATATTACCCCCGACATCAAGTAAATTATAATATTACCTCCGACATCAAGTAAATTATAATATTACCTCCGACATCAAGTAAATTATAATATTACCTCCGACATCAAGTAAATTATAACATTACCTCCGACATCAAGTAAATTATAATATTACCTCCGACATCAAGTAAATTATAATATTACCTCCGACATCAAGTAAATTGTAATATTACCTCCGACATCAAGTAAATTATAATATTACCTCCGACATCAAGTAAATTATAATATTACCTCCGACATCAAGTAAATTATAATATTACCTCCGACATCAAGTAAATTAAAATATTACCTCCGACATCATCCTTTAAGAGCTGACATTAGCTTAATCCAAGAAGGGGAAAACTCCACTTTGAAGTTCACACCGCCGTGTCAAAATCTAAGTGTGCGCCTATTTTCGTCACAATTATGAAGGCCATACGACTGTTCCCGATTCGCTTCTATTTATAGCCACAGTGTCACTTGACACGGGTGTCGTTCATCCAGCACATACCATGAGTGACGTTTGACGACCCTCCTCCTGGGGGAAGAGGGGGGGGGGGTTCGACTAGACCCGTACTTTGTTCCGGCGGAAAGATAAAGAAAAAGTGTTCCAACTCTACACGTTTCACTTGCCACGGGTGTCGTTCATCCAGCACATACCATGAGTGACGGTTGACGACCCTCCTCCTGGGGGAAGAGGGGGGGGGGTTCGACTAGACCCGTACTTTGATCCGGCGTAAAGATAAAGAAAACGTTGTCCAACTCTACACGTTCAATCAGATCAGGGGCGTAGCTAGGGCCGGTGCCGCCTTGGACGGTTCAAGATTTTGTGCCGCCTTGGACGGTTCAAGATTTTATGCCGCCCCTTCTACTTCTAAGAAATAAACTCTGCGTTGAGTCCAAAAAGCCGCCCCTCCCTATAAAGAAACAAATTGCCGCCCGGGATGGCGCGCCGCCTCCAGCCCCCCTCCCCCTCCTTTTTTTTTCTACGCCACTGAATCAGATGTAGTTTTTAGTTTCTCCTACATTCTCATTAGGGTACATACGCTTGTCTGGAAGATGACAGTGATAGCCAATATCTAGCATCTATTGTTTCATTTATTAATTTTTTAAGGGCCTGTCATTTTAAAAAAAATACAAGAAATATTGTTTTATTGAGTCTGCCTATTCAAGTCGTTGAACTTCTGCAAAGTTCCTTTAATTAAGGGCGAGAAAAATTAAATGTGATTTTTTTTTTCCCCCAAGCCTCGGATTTCACATCGAATAAGAAATAAAACCACGTTTGTGATTAAAGTAAAGACATGCCAGAAATACAAAAGAGCAGCTTACTGATTACACTGGTGCTCAAGGCGACGGCGCCGATGGAGATACCGACGGAGACCGGAAGATCACGACTGTTGTCATACTCTCTAATTTCTTTACTTAATTCCTCGGCGATCTTCTTTTGCGACATGCCCTGAAAAAAAAACCCAACAACATTAGCTTGATGTTTCATACATAGATAGAATATTATCATAGTCTTACACATACATATGCTGAGAATTGCAACGCAAAGCAAGCCCCACACCCCCACCCCCACCCCCCACCCCCGTTCACCAACCAAAAGTCATCATCAATTTATCGTTTCATAATGTTGTACCACTTGACAGATTCTGTTTCATAATGTCGTACCACTTGACAGATTCTGTTTCATAATGTTGTACCACTTGACAGATTCTGTTTCATAATGTTGAACCACTTGACAGATTCTGCTTCATAATGTTGTACCACTTGACAGATTCTGTTTCATAATGTTGTACCTCTTGACAGATTCTGTTTTATAATGTCGTACCACTTGACAGATTCTGTTTCATAATGTTATACCACTTGACAGATTCTGTTTCATAATGTCGTACCACTTGACAGATTCTGTTTTATAATGTCGTACCACTTGACAGATTCTGTTTCATAATGTTGTACCACTTGACAGATTCTGTTTCATAATGTTGTACCACTTGACAGATTCTGTTTCATAATGTTGTACCACTTGACAGATTCTGTTTCATATTTTTGTACCACTTGACAGATTCTGTTTCATAATGTTGTACCACTTGACAGATTCTGTTTCATAATGTTGTACCACTTGACAGATTCTGTTTCATATTTTTGTACCACTTGACAGATTCTGTTTCATATTGTTGTACCACTTGACAGATTTCTGTTTCATCATGTCGTATCACTTGACAGATTCTGTTTCAAATGATGCCTCCAATAAAATTCCAATGCCTTTTTCAGATGACAAGCGTATGCCTAGATCTTGCCAGGCCAGATGACACTGGCTAAAACTATTGGTCCTATCATGTTCTGTGATGCAAATGCATAATTTTCGCCACTTTTTTTTAGCTTCTGGCCAATCTTCTGCTGATGCAAGCATAGACTTAACCGTTGAGCTAATGCTGCAACTGATCTTGTTCCACAATAATCGACAAGGAAGTAAAAAAAAATAATGCTTGCTTAACTTCATTTAAGAAAACCCAATTTCTGTCACATTTTTCACCATTTAAACGTCTAGATGTTAGGATACTTTCTGGAAAAACCTGGCTGTCTATATCTTTGGGAAATGTTTTAGCCTAGTATAACGCTTTATAACAGGACTGCTTATATCAAACAAGACTGCTTATAGATCAAGCAAGGCGGTTTTTTTCTATAAACACAAAGTATAGAGTAATGAAGTGTATATCCAATGTTGTTTTTCTTTTTTAAAAATTGGTTTTGTAAATTAAAAAAAAAAATCCCCTCCATGGTCCCCCTTTGAGCTCCATGTGGCCAGGGACAATGTACAGCCTGCACCCTCTCCTCCTCATGCCTGCTTGTAGAGCAAACCTTGCTCCAAGTCACCCGTTGTTAGGTTCCCAGAGATGTATAAAAAAGAAATAAATATTATTCAAATATCCGGTTTCAATTAAGAAATATGCATATGGTAGAAGTTTTAACTTTCAGCAGATGGCTTAGGTTTTCCCAAATGTTTAAGAATCCCTGAGTTAAAAAAAAAAAAAAAAAAAACACCTGGTGGCTATTTTATTCTTAATAAAATTAGTAAAACAGAGTAGGGTTAAACCTGAAAAAATAAACGCAACAAAACAGCTTTCAGAAGATGGCTTAGGTTTTCCCAAATGTTTAAGAATCCCTGAGTTAAAAAAAAAAAAAAAAAAAAAACACCTGGTGGCTATTTTATTCTTAATAAAATTAGTAAAACAGAGTAGGGTTAAACCTGAAAAAATAAACGCAACAAAACAGCGAACGTGTCGGCAGAAAGCCTTCGTCAGCGAACAAAACAACAGAAAAAAAAGGTATACAAATAAAAATAAGAAATAGCACTAAGCTGGTAAGTAGTATTTGTGGGCAGCAATAGAAGTTTTATTCTTAAAATGATATCATTCGAGAGATAAATAAACGCTTCATCTAAAGAATTCAGTCACGCGTGTGATTATTGCTTCAAACCAAAAGTATGAGGCACGTTATATACTTCAACATTTATTAGTTAAAAATTAAGTCAGCGAAAACAAAAACAAATTACCTTGAAAAAAAGTTCACCGTTGTGGACGCTGCAATACTCTGTAAGTTTGTGTGTGTGTGTGTTTTTCGGTTGTATTTCTTTACTTTGTACAGACAGCGTCTCTCTGAAAAAAACTGTCAGTTGAGACGCATCACGGCTGACGAACAACGGCTTGCTTATATAGCCGTGTCGTCTGAAACACGCATGCATCACTCAGTGCGGCCCTTGTGTGTAGTGGAGGCGAAATAAGCTACTTTCGTATCACACGTGAGTCACTACCAGACTCAGTCAGTCGTACCCGAATGGAGATCAACCCGTGTGAGTGTCAGTGTAGGTGTACGTCTTCATTTATTGCCTTAACGTATCATTTGAGCTTCCAAATGTGATTGAAATTCTGGATTTTTTTTTTTTTTTTTTTTTTTGAAGCACTAATAATTAAACATCATGGGGTAATCAATGAATCAATCCCTGTGACATTGCTTTGAGGTGATATTTTTTTTATCTTCAAACGACGAAAACAATCTTTTAATTTCTAAGAAAGAATTGTTTCATCTATATTTGTTTCGAAGCCTTTACAATTTGAGAACATTGGGCGCATTATCAAGTAACCACGAACTGGATAAATTGTCGATACTATATGATACGCCACATCATCACTCATTATTTTTTCAGACAATGGTCTGTGGTACGCATTTAAGTTTTTTTTTTTTTTTTTTGGGTGGGGGGGGGGTTTTTAAGCACAAAAATTAAAAATTACAGCCCGTTTTGACTTCGATGCACTCCATCCTACATTACCTGTAATAATTTCGGTATTTGCCAATTTTGGTATGATTTTG